AAACTGTGATTCTGTTCATGGAAGCTTAACCTACACCAATCGCCTGTATTTGACTCAAATGTAAACAATGCATTTCTGTAGTTTTATTAACGACACCGATGTGACGACCCCAGAAGTGTGATCGAAGTATCTTAGTACCGTGTTTTTTGTGTCTATTTTAACGAGACAAGGTTTTTAACATACACCCCGAACAACGCAACAGGTCGACCATTACATTTACTTAGTTACTTCCCATTACAATAAATCTTTGTTTGCAAGGGATGCAACATGTAAAAATAAATAAAGGTAAAATGTTTATGTATAATGAAACAATTGAATGATAAATGTAAAGGTTTTTAAATTTATTTTTTATATTTATTATTTGTTATTGCGAATTTGAATTGATTTTATGTCTGTTGAAAAACTCATTTTTTTTGGGTCTATTTTGCTTTTTAATGAACACATTAGCTATAATAACTACGTGACTTAACGACACTTGATCATTCAAATTATATATTGTTCATTGATTCTCTTAAATCTCCATAATACTTTAGACATTTTTAGAAAAAAAAATAAATAAATAAATAAAAAAAAAGTTTTTAATTTTTAATTTTATTTTATATTTAGACGTTTTGTATTAGATCTATGTATAAGTAAACCCTCTTAAATGAATGAAAGCAGACTACAAGTAAGAAAGAAATATTACTATTGTAAATCTGTATCAGTCCTCACAAGCCGATGATGAAAACTGTAATACTAAAGCGAACACACAACTGACGCTATAAATTAAATGTCTGAGGCGGGGAAAAAAAATAAAGAAAAATAAACTCACGTCAGTGTCCACCACACCCTGATAATTACACATCGACCACGCTATCTCTTTTTGTTTATAACCTTGTTCTTTTTTAATACAAAAAAAAAATGTATATATGATAATATATGTGTGTTTAAAAATAGTATTACACTTACACTGTATTTAAATGTTAACTGTATATAGTTGTGTTGTTTTAGTTATCGTGAAATAAAAATGATGTTCTAAATATAAAAAAAAAAAAAAACGTATCTAATTTGCTGTGTAGTTTCCAATCACCTGTATGTGATACAGTCTTTGTTGTTTTAGCTTTGTTTACTACACATCACACGGTCCACGTCTTTGGCTCTCTTCACCACCCCACTGCACACTACCCAGCTCTTCTTCTTTTTCTTCGTTCTTAATTTTTAGTGTTAGGAGGGATCGAGCCTTATTGAGGGTTTGAACTCGAGACTTTTTTTTTTATCAACCATGAGCTTTTGCCGACTCGACCATGCTTCCAGCACAATTAAGGATTACGTGTCAACTGGTTTTGCGCCATTAAGGCCATTGACTCCGATATCAGCCTGCTTTTCTTTTTTGATTTGCTTCCATAGCCTTTGTCCAACCAAGAACAAACTACAATGCAGCAGTTGTTTGATTTTGGAGTTGTCACTCCTAGAAGAGTTGCTGCCCCAGCTAACGAGCCTTATCTGCCCGATGGTTCGACCAGTACGTATGTACCGGTGTTTCTTTCAGCCAACTCTACTCCCTCATCCTAACGAACAAAAACAAATGTTTCTATATGCTTTAGCCAGTGTCTGCCCCACTGATGGTTTGAAGTGTCCTCGGTAGTTTCAAGTGACCCGGAGAATGTCTGAAAAAAAAAACCTCGTTTGCAATGTATACATCAAATCTTGCACCCAGTCATCTTCTAACCAACCAGAGTGTACACCAACCACACAAACCAAGAAAGCTGGTACTTCAACGTAATCAAACGACAACATTACTGAAAAACTACTTGCTATTTAACTCAATAACTAATTTCTTAAAACCTTCAGTACACATGTCTATTGTCCTGGTTTATTTTGTTGATGACCCAGAACATGCGTTCACTAAACTACGTTACTGTCCTACTAACTACGTTTCATGTTACCTAATTACGTTACTGTCCTACCCTTTTTACGTTACTTTCTTAAACTACTAATGCTATTCTCATATTCTAGCTACACTACTGTCCTAACATAAATGAGCTAATGTCCTATCATATCTACGCTACGGTCTCAACTACAACTGTTTTTCACCATCTAGAAATAACATATAAAAGTTAATATTTTCTTATTAATTGAAATTTAATCTAAATTGTAGAACATGTTTTATTCTTACTTATTTCCCTTTCTCTTACATCATAACGTTAGGGGCAACAACCAGTAATTAAAGTTAACAAAGCTTCCAACAAAAGAGACTTTTTAAATTAAAAAAAAATTGTAGCCCTATATCAATTTGAAATTAAAAAAAAAGGAATAATAAACATGTTAGAAAACTGAATTAGTTGTATATGTTGTGATAGTAATTAATTTTTAAATAACCGTAGCTTGGTTGAAAGAGCTACTATTGAATTTATTAACTACATTATTGGAAAACGCTTGATGAATCAGATTATGCAATTGTTATGAATCTCTTATTACTAGAGAAATAAAATAAACCGGGAGTGGTCTCCCCTAAACTTTCTCGAATATTCTTATTTAACACTACGGGGGATGGCTAATCGGGATATAGACACTATTTTTAATCCTTTTTAATTAATAAATCTAAAACAAATATGCATAATAGTGCGGAATAGTATTAGTACTTTATAAATTAACATGCGTTTTTTTAAAAATCGGAAATAGCGTAAATTACTACTTCCGGAAATTACTCAAAATTTTACAAAAGGCAGATAATTATATCTTTTACTTTTATGTAAAATGTCATTGATCCTCATGAAATAGTACTCAAGTTATAGGCTTTTGAAAGTAGAAAAAGTTCTATTTCCAGTTATCGGAAATCGATGAAAAGGTGATACGGACCTACACATTTTATATACTACTAATATATGAAATGTCATCATCATTGCTGTAACGTTACTCAAGTTATCGTGTTTACAGACACACATACACAAACACACGTACATAAAAGATAGTGACATGGAAGGTAGAGAACGTTGTTGCTATAGAATGAATGCTGGGTAGTTTGGTTATGTTGTTTACGGAAGGAAATCTGTGTACTATAATTGGCCAGTCTACTTGGATACTAAATTAACGTTGTTAGTACTTTTGAATAAAAACACAAACAAAGAAAACAGAAAGAAAAAAAGTATATTGTCTAGTATATCTATATTGTCTGTGACCAAGGAATTTGGTTGTGGAACGCCCACAATAACGGTTTGGAAAGGTCAAGGCCTCTCACAGATATCTTAACAGGGTTGGAGGGGAATAGTCTACCGTCTGTCTTCCTGTGATCTAAACTATGCTTAAGTCGTTATTACTTTTTTTTTCTTAACTGTTTAGGCCTATACTGTGTTGCCCTATAAGCTCAGTTGTTCACACACACTATGAAAACGTTTTATAAAATAAAAATTCAAACTAAGAATTGATAAAACAGCCCTCTGATCTCCTTCTACATAAAATGTGATAAAGATGTCTTAACCATTTTAGATAATCTTTGTGATAATGCTGTCTAGGATACTCCATTCCACATACAATGTTATAAAGTTTACCATAAATTCCCCATTCAACACACATGTGATATTGTTACGAAAAGCTTTAAGATTCCCCCAGTTTTTTACAATGCTGTGCTACACCTTACCTCTCATTCCACGAACATTATGTTGCTATATACATTTTTCAAAGGCCTATAACTTGAGTACAGTTTCAGATAGATAAATGTATTTCACATGTAGGTAAACGATCTAATTATCTGCCTTTTGACAAAATTTAAGTAAATCCCGTTGACCAGAAATAGTAATTAACACTATTTCTGATTTCTCAAAAAACGCATGTCAGTTTATAAATTACTAATTATATTCCTCACTATTATACACAGATTTTTTGCGCATTTTTTTTTCTACCGGATTATATTATATTTTAAAAAGTTTAAGTAATTAAAATGGATTAAAAATCATGTCTCTATATCGAGGTGCCATCCCCCGCAGTGTTATATAAGAATATTCGAGAAAGATTAGGGGAGAGCTCCCGGTTTATTAATTTTTTAATTATGTAAATGAAAAAATAAATCCTGCAAGAATGAAAAAAAAATCTATCTATCATCCTGATGATATTTTACTTTTCGTTACACTATGTGTTTATTTGCTTCTCGGTCTTTTGGATAATAACAAAGTGTAGTATATGTTCTTGATTCTGCTCTGATGTCGGTCTTCTTTAGGTCCGATAAAACGATATACTTTCAACTCATGATAATCTTGAAGACCTATACTCAAATATCAACTCGATCACTCAAATGTTCATATCGTCTTATTTGACTCAATGCCCTAAATGTAAATAATGCAGTTCTGTAGTTTTATTAACGACACTGATGTGACGACCTCGGAAGTGTGTTCGAAGTATCTTAGCACCATGTCTATTTTTTGTCTACTTTAACGAGCCAAGGAGTTAACATACTCCACGAGCACTGGAACAGGTCGACCATTAATTTTGCCGAGTTACTTCCCATTATTTTAAATCATAGTCTTCAAGGGATGCAACCTATACAAATAAATACTTGTTAAAAGTTTATGCTTAGTGGGACACTTGAACTATAAATCTAAATAGTATCGTGTTATTTGTTTTATAAATAAAATCCATTACTGAAAATTGGAAATATGTTTATGTCAGTTAAAAATGTTAATTTGTTTTATCCATTTTGCATTTTTTTGAACGCATTAGCTATAATAAGTGCGCAACTTATAGATATTTGATAATTCAGAACAATCATAGCTCAACGTCTCTAAGCAGGTATTTCTGATAATTATTTTTAAATTTGTATTATTAGACTACGACAGGGGTCGGCAACCTGCGGCTCTTTTGATATCAAGATGCGGCTCTCCAGCTCCTTGAACAAATACTAATAACCTTAATAAAAAAAAAAATATTTGAAATAAAAAAAATGTTAGTGGCTCTTTTAAACCAGGGAAATTTTGAAAATTGTAACTTTTGGCTCTTCCGCTTCAAAAGGTTGCTGACCCCTGGACTACGAAACAGATAAAACAAAACATGTGAAGGTACCGCAGAAAAAAGATGCATAAGGGAGACAAACCACTAAAAGAGAAATATAGAACAAAGAGACGAACTCGTGATTTAGATCAGATCCACAATGATATGAAAAGTCCAGACTCTTTGTTAAAGCAGGACGTTGACCTGGACAAACCAGGGGCTGCACAGTTTTATTGTTTGACTTGTGCGATATATTTTATAAATGACAAATCCCTGGCAGACCACTTTAAGAGCAAGCCCCACAAAAGAAGGTTGAAGGCACTTGAAACAGAACCCTACACGCAGGAGGAGGCAGACAGGGCTGCAGGGATGGGATCGTATGTTGCACCAAAGAAAGTCACAGTCCTACAGCAGAGTAAACCAAGTACAGAAGAAGACATGGCGCCTGTAGACACTTGATGCATAGATCTCTACGTGGGGGAGGGGGGCTTGTTATGCTTGTGTATAATGTACTTGTATATGAAAATGTCCTTAAAGTTCATCCTATGCTTTTGTCAAGAAAATATTTTATGTAGGTCTAAGTTGGGACGGAGTGGTCTCGCGGTAGAGAGCTGGACTGCCAACCCGTAAGTCTCGAGTTCGAATCCGGGTTCAAGTCAGTAGACCGTCCCTGCGTCCACCCAACTCTGATGGGTACCTAACTCACGTTAGGGAGAGTAAAGGCGGCTGGGCATAGTGCTGACCACACTATCTCTTCATATGCCGAGGTCACAGAAACAAGCGAACTCTACTTCCCTTGCCCCATAGACCGTCAGGTTTGAAAGGGAAACTTTACTTTTGTTTTTACTTAAGTTGCACACAATTTTCAACAATAATTTATATGTACATTCTACATTTTTACCAGTATTTATAAATACTTTTAAATATGTGTGCAGACATTTCAAAATACTGATGGCCATTGATTGTTGAAGATTTTCCTTCTTTGTAAATATTTGGTAACATTATTATTACTGTCACTTCTTTTCTTTCAAGTCAAACCTATCCTGAAGTTAATTCAGTCATAATAAGGTACAAAAATACTAATTAAAAGAGAATCGTTTAAGTTGTGTGCGTGTGAAGCTAACTTTAAGTACAAAAACAGCAGTGTGCCTCCTTTTGACTTTGGTTTCATATGGCTGTTCCCCATTGTCAGTGAGTAATTAAAATACAGCATTCATTTCAGCTGTTCCCTATTGTCAGGGAGTAATTAAAATAAAGCATATGAAAAAAAAAAAATTTAGACTTATTTTGGCGGGTTTGATCAATATGTACTACGGCCCTAATGACGTGGCTCTCTTGGACATCCCTGACTTCTACAAGAACCTGGTAACTGGTCGGTCTTCATGTGTGGCCCGCGGGGCGTGTCCATACAGCCCGGCCATAGCACCAAATGTCAGCCTTAGTGGCTACAAGATCGTGAGCTATGGTGCCAACAACGGCGTGTCCATACAGCCCGGCCATAGCACCAAATGTCAGCCTTAGCGACTGCAAGATCGTGAGCTATGGTGCCAACAACGGCGTGTCCATACAGCCCGGCCATAGCACCAAATGTCAGCCTTAGCGACTGTAAGATCGTGAGCTATGGTGCCAACAACGGCGTGCCCATACAGCCCGGCCATAGCACCAAAATGACAGCCTTAGCGACTGCAAGATCGTGAGCTATGGTGCCAACAACGGCGTGTCCATACAGCCCGGCCATAGCACCAAAATGACAGCCTTAGCGACTGTAAGATTGTGAGCTATGGTGCCAACAACGGCGTGTCCATACAGCCCGGCCATAGCACCAAATGTCAGCCTTAGCGACTGCAAGATCGTGAGCTATGGTGCCAACAACGGCGTGCCCATACAGCCCGGCCATAGCATCAAATGTCAGCCTTAGCGACTGTAAGATTGTGAGCTATGGTGCCAACAACGGCGTGTCCATACAGCCCGGCCATAGCACCAAATGTCAGCCTTAGCGACTGCAAGATCGTGAGCTATGGTGCCAACAACGCATCCTCAGCTGTGATGTCGGATGGCCTGTATGAGACGTCAGTCGCATTTAATTTTATTGGTTGTTCAACGGTCGCCAAAAGTTCCGCCTCGGTCACTAACTATTGTTTCAGGACAATTTGCGGTCTAAATCTGTTTTGTACCGGTGACGCCGGCGCCCCTGTATTGTGCAGGGCGCCATCCAACAACGAGTGGATCCTGTTTGGTGTAACGACACTCGGACCGTCATGCAGCACGTCACATGAGTTCCGTATTCTACCGTACCCCGGATAAAGACAACGGACACCTCAAAGGGATACAACTACAGATATTTACGTTAACTAAAACGTATCTAGTTTTGTAATAATATGCAACAATAATAACTTTCCTGTTCTATGTGGTTTTTAAATTTTACTTTAATAGTTTCGTAGAACATTATTTCTGAATTTAAAGTTGTTAAATTCGCTTTACTTTAATTTGTTTTAAACTAATCATATTAAATTAATTGTTTATCATGTAATTAAATCAGCAATAACGAGTTTTTTTTATTAAATATAACACCTTAAAGTGTCAATCTTATTTCAACTCGTTGAATTTATATCTTCTACATATAATTTTCATTTTTTTTGGGTATTACTGAACCTTTATGACGTTAGGGAGGGGGAAGGGGGAAAAACACAGGTGTCATAGATCGATTACTCCCCCCCCCCAACCCCCTTCCCAGAAGATATTCTTACAACTTGCATCACTACTTTACACATGCCCTATAATAATCATAAGTCTATCTGGCCATAAACAGTTCCCGTTTTATTGACGTTTTTACAAGCCTTTATTTAACTCACTTCCTCTGTCGTCAGTCTGTCTAGATCGAAAGGGCCGAGCGAAATTACGGGAACTTCTAGCTGACTGATATGGTTCGCAGTTGGTACGTGGGTCAAGAAATAAAGACAATGCAACACGCTATTAAATTTGACTTATTTGGATGTCTAATTATTTTTTTTTATGAATTAATTAAAATGTTGACCAAATTAGTAGGCAGTTCTATCCAACTACTCCACACGCGTCATCACGTTCAATAGCCGTGCAATAGTTTTTAATGATGTAACTCTATTGTAAATCTAATATATAAAGCTCAGTTCTGTATGTAATGCATATGTTTGTCGTTGACAGTTCTATGGATTGAAGTGTTAGAAAATTTATGAGCTAGAAAATTACTACTGAAAGTGTTGGGAAATAATTTTCATTTTTCAAATTATAGTAATAATTGTCGGCATGTTCATTAAACACAAGATTTAAAAAAATATCATCTTTTACAAAAATTCAAATTATGTCTTTATTTAGTCCTATAGCACTTACTTCCCTTAGATAAATTAGGAAAACAAAATTACTTCCCTTTATGAAACCATTGCATTAGTCGAAAATAATTTACTTTTTAATTACTTTGTTTTGGTGTTGGGAAAAAAAAATTACATAATTAGCGGGGATTGATCAAGTGCAAATGTTGTAGGTATTTTGCCATTCGGGCAATTGTCGCATTCGGGCAAGTGTCCATTCGGGCATTTGTCGCATTCGGGCAAGTGTCCATTCGGGCGTTTGTCGCATTCGGGCAAGTGTCCAGTCGGGCATTTGTCGCATTCGGGCAAGTGTCCATTCGGGAAATCGGCCTTCGGGCAAACGGCATTCGGGCAAGTGTCTTTCGGGAATTTGTCGTAGACCCACTCCATAGTATGTGTCCCAACAACATATGTCCAATAATATGTGTCCCAACAACATATGTCCAATAATATGTGTGCCGACAACATATGTCTCATAATATGTGTCCCAACAACATATGTCCAATAATCTGTGTGCCGACAACATAAGCCTAATAATATTTGTGCCGACAACATGTGTCTAATAATATGAGTGCCGACAACATATGTCTCATAATATGTGTGCCGACAACATGCGACGCTTCTGCGCTACATTTCACCTTTATTTCGTTACAGTCCGACCCTTTTCACATTAAATGCTTGCGCTAACAACGCTACTCTCATATTCTAGCTACACTACTGCGCTAATGTCATAACTTAGCTACTCTTCTGCCCTAAATACAACGATGTTTCAACATTCTAGATGTAAAAAAAAACTAGCCAGTCAATATTTTCTATTTAATTTATTAAATGTAATCTAAAATGTAGAGCATTTTTTATTCTCACTTATTTCCATTTAACTCACATCATAACACCAGGGGCAACAACATGTAATTAAAGCAATCAAATCTACTAAAAGACTTTACATTTTAACATTTAACCTTACTTTACTTTGAAATAGTAAGAGAATAATAAATATGTTAGAAAACCGTATGAATTGTGTGTATCTTCACAGTAGTTTTTGAATAATCATAGCTTGGTTAAAATTAGTGACTAATGACTTTACTAACTACATTATTTTTAGACCCTTGATTAATCAGTTTAAACATTCGTTTACATATCTATTTGAACAAGTGGTATTTTTTTTACTTCTCTATTCTGCAGAAAAAAAAATAAACACAAAAATAAATTAAATAAAAGCTAAATTTAAAATTATCGCTTTTAACGATAGCTTCTAGGAAACTTGACTCACGCTTTATGCGGTCCAGTCCAAATGGAAACCATTTTTGGAACGCCAATGTGGTAGATGACTACATTGTAGAATAGACAGTAAAATGTGATGCGGCCCATGGAAGCCACACCATCACCCATTGTCAGTATTTGATTCCAAGTCCCAAATGTAAACAAGACAGGTCTGTAGTTTTCTCCACGACACGGATGTGACGACCTCGGATGTGTGTTGGAAGCATGTTAGCACCACGTCGCTTTTGGCATAGAGTCTGATAACAGTTGGAACGTTTCTGTAACATCTTGGTCTGGTACTTGACTAGACAACAAACAACGATACGTTTAACGATGCTAGTTTGATATTATGGATGTTTATAATATCAATAATGTGTAGGCCTATGTATTGGTAATGGATTACAATTGTACCACTAACATATATGTCTCCAGTAGAAACATTATAAATAAAAAAAAACTAAGTTTTCCCTTTCAAACCTAACGGTCTATGGAGCAAGTGAAGTAGAGTTCACTTGTTTCTGTGATCTCGGCATATGAAGAGATAGTGTGGTCAGCACTATGCCCAGCCGCCTTAGCTTTCCCTAACGTGAGGACTTAAACCCGGATTCGAACTCGAGAATTACGGGTTAGCAGTCCAGCACTCTACCGCTAGATCACTCCGATAAATAACGCAAGAGAAAAATTTAAAATACCAACGTTTATTTAATTACCGCATCAACAATGTATTCATAATTCTAATTATACTGCCTAAATATTAAGTTATACTAACTGACTAACTATAACTTTCTATTACTACACATATTTACTCTTCAACTATAGCCTAGCTAACCTACTTCCCAAATTCCAACCCAACTGACAATCTCCTAACACTATGTCTGTTTACTACACGTTCGAACCACCAACTTCCCTAACGCTTTGATTGATCAGCTGACCGTCACACGTGACCACGG